TCGAAAGATGATCTCTCCCACATCAATCTTGATGCCTGTCATGATGCACGCAATGAGGATTGCTTTCTCAATATTGATATCAGTTTCATTCCTAGACGGCATCAGACGGGACGTGACAAAGCTAAGCCAATATCGACCCACCCTTGTGAGATCCTCCTTGTAAATCTTGTGCTAAGGGTCAATCCAGGCGGGTGTCCCCTTTGTTATGACAGAGGCAACCCAGGCGCGCTCGTTGTTCTTGTTAGCTACCTTAGCCTCGTACTCAGTTGTGTCTGAGCTCCAATTCTCAAAGTACACGTAATTGATAGTCGCTTCATCACAAAGAACCTGAACCCCTTGAACTAGGACAGTGTTTGCAAAGATCATGTTTTGTTTTTGTTCGGCAGTCCTGGAAGCACCATATGAAGCATAAAATTCCCTCACACTTGTCTCATTGTATTCATCCGAGACCTCAGTGAAGAATTCCCATTTTCTCTACTTAATGTTCTCGAGTATGTGAGTGTAGTACTCCGACAACCCATTTAAACTTAACTGCTTCTCCTTGAGGATTTTTCTCATTGAGAGCCCAGCTTTATATAGATCTATGGAGGCTTTGACCTCAAATGGAAGACTAAGATCTTCCCCATCTTCCTGTGTGCCTCAGCCTGTAGATCAACAGAAGGCCCGAAGTCACTTTGTGACTGCTCCTCTTCAAATTGGGAGAAGTGCTCAGTAGTAATGCGGATTGCTTGAGCCCGCTGACATTTTGCTTGTTGGCTAGGATTTGCAGCCCTTTTCTGTTGACGACCAGGCGGTGATTGCATTGGATTAGACTTCTTTGGTGCCATTCCTGTTGATGAAGCATTGTAGGAGTGAATGAAATAACTCTGGGAAATTTATTAGAGATAAAAGAAAAAAAGAACACAAAAATGCGATGGGTTATGCGATCGCATATCAAGTATGCGGAGCGCATAACCATCGCATATGTGCAGAAGCAGAAAGTCATCAGCAGCTACGTGATCGCAAAACCAACCACATAAGTGGTTATGCGATCGCAAAGTGACCGCATTTTGGAAGGCTAGATAGCCTGATGGTCTGCCTCACTCTGCGACACACATGCGGACCTTAAAAAGGGTTTGCGATCGCAAAAGCAATCGCATAACCCATTTTACCTTAGGGAACTTTAGGGGTCATATGCGATGATTTTGCGGACCACAAAGAGATTATGCGGCCCGCAGAGGTCATCTTCCTCATGAAAGTTTACCCTCCCCAAATCATGTGGGTTTCTATTTCCACCCATTTAGAAATCTAGTGCCCATGTGTTCAATTTCAACAAGAAAGAGAGAGCGAGAGAGAGGGAGAGGGAGAGAGAGAGGGAGGGAGAGAGATAGAGATAGAGATAGAGAGAGAGAGATAAAGAGAGAGGTACTCAGACTTCCCCCTATTTGGTTCATCAAATCAATAGCACACACAATTTCTTAATCAACTCCTCACCAAAGAAAATCAAATGCACATACTGTACTATCATGCAAGTCACAAACTTAGCCCAATTCGACCACATACAAGAAAACACATTCAGATATCCAGGGCTTCCAGACTAGGTTAGGTTCATAAGAGGGAGAGTAAAAAGGAAGAATGAGAGTAACGAGAAGAACAGAGAGCTAGAAGCCATACCTGAGCTCGTGAATTTGAAAATTAAAATGAGAAGGCTTGTGAGTATTGATTTGTTTTGATCCTTTCCTTTTTTCGTCCTTAGCAGATTCTATGCGTTCTCTTCTTCTCTCCTTTTTTTCTTTGTTTTGTTCAAACGTGAGTGTGTGAATAGAGTGGGTTAGGGTTTATACCTGGCAGGTCTGCAGCTGTTAAGCTCGTCGCATAACACAATGTGAGATTGCATAAGTGTTATGCGGTGGACTTATGACTTGGCAGCCTAGATAAACTTTGCGATGCAAAATGCGATTGCAAAGTGGGTATGCGGGCCGCATAAATGAAAAACCTACCACATAGTTGATAACTAAAGTAGCCAAATTCTCTGCCGGAGTTTGCAATGACTATGTGGTTCGCATAGTCATTATGCGACCGCATAGTTGTCACTCAATCTGGACCTCTCTTTCCTTCAGTTTCTTCAGCACTAGGACCCTGTTCATGATATTTTGGGACTAGCTGCATTCTAGCACACACGTCAACTCGCTCAATCTAAACTATGTAAATAATAATAAGAAAAAAACTACAAAAGAGTGTTACCAAACATGGGTTGCCTCCCAAGAAGCGCTTGATTTTAACGTCGCGACACGATGCAGTTGACTCCTTTTGGATTATTCCTTGGTGGGGGCTGCTGTTGGACCATCCCTTAGAGAAAATTGTTCTATCAAATGCCTTTCTCCTGCAGTACCGAGATAATGCTTGACTCGTTGTCCATTCACCTTGAAAGTTCGAGTCCCATCCTCCGACTCCAATTCAATAGCACCATAGGGGGACACACTCACAACTTTGAACGGGCCCGACCATTTGGACTTGAGTTTACCCGGAAATAGATTGAGTCTTGAATTGAAGAGTAAGACCAAGTCACCAAAATTGAACTCCCGCTTTAAGATCTTCTTGTCATGGACAAACTTCATCCTTTCTTTGTACATGGCTGCACTCTCATAAGCATGGAGACGGAATTCTTCCATCTCATTGAGTTCTGCCATCCTCAAATTAGCAGTCTCGGCCCAGTCAAGATTCAGCTTCTTCAATGCCCATATGGCTTTGTGTTGAAGCTCCACTAGCAAGTGACATGCTTTGCCAAAAACCAACCTATGCAGTGAAGTGCCAATGGGGATCTTATATGCTGTGCGATATGCCCACAACGCATCATCTAGCTTCCTTGACTAGTCGGTCCTGTTTGCATTGACAGTTTTAACTAGGATGTTTTTGATTTCCCTATTTGAAACTTCAACCTGACCACTCGACTGAGGATGATAGGGTGTGGCCACCTTGTGCTTTACACCATACTTTTCAAGCAGCCTGGCGAAAGCCTTGTTGCAGAAATGAGACCCACCATCACTCAAGATAGCCCTTGGAGTACCAAACCGTGTGAATATGTTCTTCTTCAAAAATGCGGTTACACTCCTTGATTCATTGTTAGGTAAGGCGATTTGCTCGACCCATTAAGACGTAGTCCACAGCCACCAAGATGTAGGTCATGCCATAAGAGCTCACAAAGGGGCCCATAAAGTCTTCCCCACACATCAAAGATCTCAACCTCTAGTATAAAATTCATAGGCATCTCATGTCTTTTAGATATTGACCCTTGTCTTTGACATTGGTCGCATGCCTTGACCATTTGATATGCGTCTTGGTAGATCGATGGCCAATAGTAGCCACACTCAAGCACTTTTGCCGCTGTCCGATTTCCTCCATGATGACCCCCAAACGAAGAATCATGGCATGCCTTGAGAATTGGCATCATCTCATCTTCCGGAACACACCGCCGGATGATGTTGTCGGCACAAATACAGAACAAAAAGGGTTCCTCCCAATAGTAATGCCTACACTCCCGCAACAACTTTTTCTTTTGATAAGTTTCCAATCCGTCGGGAATAAGATCACTAACCAAGAAGTTAGTGATGTCGGCATACAAAGGAGAAAATGTGTTAGACAATGCCAATATGTGTTCATCTGGAAAAACATCATTGATTTCAAGGTCTTCTTTTGGTCTCCCTGCCTCTTCAAGCCTAGATATGTGATCCGCAACTTGATTTTCCATCCCTTTCTGATCCTTGACTTCAAAGTCAAACTCTTGCAACAAAAGGACCCATTGAATCTATCTTGGTTTGGCATCCTTATTCGCCATAAGATAGCAAAGAGCAACATGGTCGGTGTATACTATTATTTTGGACCCCAACAAATAAGCCCGAAACTTTTGAAAAGCATAGACAATGGCAAGAAGTTCTTGCTCAGTCACAGTGTAATTCATTTGAGCGCCATTGAGTGTCTTGCTTGCATAGTAGATAGGCTGAAGGATCTTTTTATGATGTTGGCCAAGCACTGACCCAATAGCTACACCACTAGCGTCACACATGAGTTCGAATGGAAGAGACCGATCGGGTGTGACAATAATAGGTGCCGTGGTGAGCTTTTCTTTTAATTCCTCAAAGGCCTTTAGGCACTTCTCATTAAATACGAACTTTGCATCTTTCTCAAGAAGTTTGCACATAGGATTTGCTATTCTGGAGAAGTCCTTAATGAAACGCCTATAGAAGCCGGCATGCCCCAAAAAACATCGGACACCTTTAACTGAAGTAGGTGGAGGAAGCTTGGAAATGATCTCGATCTTTTCCTGGTCAACCTCTATGCCTTGTTTGGAAATTTTATGACCCAACATAATGCCCTCATCCACCATGAAGTGGCATTTCTCCCAATTTAGCACAAGGTTTGTTTCTTCACATCTTTTGAGCACTTGTCTAAGGTTGTCAAGACAATGCTCAAAGGAATTACCCACGACAGAGAAATCATCCAAGAATACCTCTAGGAAATCTTCCACCATGTCTGAAAAGATTGACATCATGCACCTTTGGAAAGTAGCTGGAGCGTTGCATAGACCAAATAGTATCCGGCTAAATGCAAACGTCCCATATGGACAAGTGAATGTTGTCTTTTCTTGATCTTTCAATGCAATATTGATTTGGTTGTAGCCGGAATATCTATCCAAAAAGTAGTAGAATGACCTCCCCGCCAGCCGATCAAGCATTTGATCAATAAAAGGCATAGGGAAATGCTCCTTGCACGTAGCATTGTTCAACTTTCGATAATCCATGCAAACCCTCCATCCGGTCACTGTTCTTGTGGGGATGACATTTCTATCATTTTCAATCACGGTCATGCCTCCCCTTTTCGGCACACATTGCACCAGGCTCACCCAATAACTATCGGCAATGGGGTAGACTACCCCAACATCTAACCACTTGACGATTACTTTCTTTACCACCTCCTGCATGGAAGGGTTTAACCTTCGTTGATGCTCTACACTTGGTTTACTCTCATTCTCCAATTTTATCTTGTGTTTGCAAATTCCAGCGGGAATCCCTCAGATGTCCACTATTGTCCACCGTAGCTTGCGTATGCTCCCTCAAGACAGTCAACGGTTGTTCTACCTGCACATCATTCAACAAAGATGAAACGATTACTGGTAGAGTGTCATTAGAGCCAAGAACTTTATACCTCAAGTGCGGTGGAAATGGTTTGAGCTCTAGTTACGGCGACTCAATAATTGAAGGCTTGGCGTAAGGAGTGACTCTATTCTCCAAGTTGAGAGAGAGTTTCTTTGGAGCATAATTGTAGGACCCAAGACCTTCCAATGCATTTATTGATTCCATGTACCCCTCCATATCTTCACCATCAAAATTTACCAAAATAGCTGCCAATGCCTCACCAAGGCATTGTTCTTCCATCTTCATTTCAACTGCGTCTTCTACCTCATCAACAACATCAATCACCGAGATGCTTTCATATTCATGCGGCAGCTTCATACCCTTGCTTTCTTGGAATGTGACCTCTTCGTCATTAATACGGAACTTGATCTCATTCCATTCTGAATCCATAAGTGCTCTTCCGGTAGCAAGAAATATTTTCCCCAAGATGATAGAAATCTCTTTGTCAACCTCACCATCAAGGATTACAAAGTTGGCGGGTAAATGGAACTTCCCCACTTTCACAAGCAAATCATCAACAATTCCCACATGTCTCTTTATGGAACGATCGGCCATTTGCAACCTCATACTGGTGGGTCTCGGCATACCTAACCCCGCTTGCTTGTAAATAGAAAGAGGCATTAAGTTGATGCTAGCCCCATTATCACAAAGGGCTCTTGCAAAATCACGCTCCCCCGGGTCTTCTTTCTTTTAAATGGTGGTAGTTTCAATGATGGTACTAACCTGGTGAGTCACATTCACCACTTCATTTTTGGTGATTTTCTTCTTGGTGATCAAATCTTTTAAATACTTAGTAAAACTCGGCATCTCTTGAAATGCTTCCACAAATGGAATATTTACCGATAATTGCTTGAGAACGTCATAGAACTTTTTGAGTTTGCTATCATCAACCCTCCTAGCAAGTCTTTGAGGGAAAGGAGGAGGAGGTCTAGAAATAGGTGGTAGAGTTTTGGTGTCTCTTTTACCTTTTCCTTAACCTCTTCCGGTTCACTTCTTGAACTTTCAACTTTTTCGGGGCCTTTTTTTGCTTCAACAACAATTGGTGCTTCAACTTGTGCCTCAACTTCTTGTTTGGACTCTTCCACTTCAACCACTTGTTCACTCTCTCCTTGGAGTACCTTCCCACTCCGAGTGGTAATTTCCATGCAATGAGAAGTTTGACCACTCCCACTACCCTTTGGGTTCGCAATTGTGTCACTTGGGAGTGTCCCCTTTTGCTTTGGATTTTGTTCCCTCGAGAGATCTCTCATTTGCATCTCCAATTTTTGAATGGACGCAGTATGAGAGCCAACAAGCTCGGTCATATTCCTCATTGAAGTGTCGGCCCTTTCTTGATTTTGCAATACCCGTTCAAGCATGTTCTCCAACTTGGAATTACTCGAGGAACCTTGATTTGAATATTGTCCCTTTGGTGGAACATAAGGGTTCGAACTCCGATTTGAGAAGTTGTTGTTGTTGTTACTCCAATTCCCTTGATTTGAGCTATCTTGGTCATTTCGCCACTGTTGGTTGCCTTGCCCTTGCGGGTTAGGCCTCCATTGATTTTGTTGTCCTTGACCTTGGTATTGTTGACTTTGATAACCTCCTTGAGAGTTGTTGACATAGTTTGCTTCCTCATAATCTTCATTTAATGTGGGTTGAACATCTTCCACAATATTTACCTTTTTCGTTTGGCTTTCAGTGAACATCTTTGTCAACACACTGATATTGGTGGCAAGACCTGCAATTACTTGATCTCTTGCTTGGTTCTCCTTAATCATGTTGGTCAAGGAGGGAGTACGATATGCAATTCCACCTGTGGCGTCCTCTGAGTGCCAAGCTTGGTTATGTTTTGCCATTTTGTTAAGGATTTTCTTGACTCTAGCAAATGTCTTATCCATAAACGATCCATCAACTGCATTCTTGGCTATAGATTAGTTCATAGCATCTAAACTATTACATCCCGTACTTTAATATTAGGATAAGTCGTAGTAACCCATATGAGCTCGAAGGGATTAAGACCATTCATGAGATTATAGAGGATCCATGACTATGTTATTGTAAGACCCCGTAAGTTTAACAACCTTGAGACCGTCATATACAGTTGATATGATATTTTAAGTGGAATATTTTTGTAAAAAGTTTGAAGATTATGATTTTATATAGTTATTAATATTACTAATTTCGAATATGTTTTAAATTATACACATAATATGAGAAAAGTTTATGAGATTTTTCTTTGTTGTAAAGATAAAAATTATTTTCTCACAAGAAAAGAAGGTTATCTTTTTACCATTTTAAGAATTAAGTGTACGAAAATTTGTAGTCTTTATATGAGATTAGAAAAATTATAAGTTGAGAAAATATATATATATTTTTACATAGATGTTTTAATGAAATAATAATGTATGTATTTATTTTAAATGGTACCACACGACCATGATAGTAAAGTATATTATAGTAAGATATATGAAGTATACTAGTATTTAAACGAAATGACACTTAGAAATTTTTATATTGCTAATTGATTAAATAATTTGTAATGAAGTAAATAGTTATATAGTTATATATATATATATATATATATATATATATATATATATATATATATATATATATATATATATATATATATATATATATATATATTAAGTACAAATGTATGGGGATAAGTATGTAGGGTGATGTCGTTGTATTAGTAGGCATTAGTTGTCAAAAGGATAGGACTTCCACGCCAATTCATGGCCAGGTGGAAGCCAAACTTTTAATGTTCCTTTTGCTTTCATTTTGGAATGGCTAATTATATCAATCACACTATATCTTGTGAAAAAGGGGTTGAAAAATGATCAGGCACTCTCTTGTGTAGTATTTCAGTCCATGTTGAACAAGGATTTTCTGTTATTGTTTCAAGACTTGGTATCTTTTGTTTTGAACATAGATTTGAATTTATATCAGCCCGTCAAGTGGAAATTTCATCATAGAAACTCAAATATACTGTTCATAATTTTCCATTTTGAGCATCCATTTTCCATCAAAAGGAAAAAGTTTATTACTTTGTGCGAGAGACAATTTCTTTCCTATAATCCATCTACATTTAGTAGCCAGAACGATTATATAGTTATAAATTGCAGTTCATTTGGTGATACTTTGGAACTTTCCAAGTCAAAATTTCCTCTGTCATCATGTCCCCCTCCCTCTCATATTTCATTTACACAGCAAAAAAAAGGTTATTTTGGCTTGGCTATGACATTTTCAGCTTCCAAATCACGACAGTTTTTGGTACTTCAATTATAGTCACAAGAGGGACGACGACCTCACATACGAGAAATATACATGTAAAAGAGCTATCGAAGATATAGCTCTCCGTAGAGATTGTGGCAATACAAGTCAGTGTGATGGAGGTACTTCACTTTATTCATCTGCCTATTCAGGATTTTGGATATGTGACATCAGTCTGCTGTCTCATGTAATTGAGTACAACAACATATTCAGTGTACTCCCACAAGTTGGATATGGGGAGGGTAGTCTACTCCCACAAGGTAGAGAGGTTGTTCCCGATAGAGAATCGACTTAGGTATGTTAAGGTTATTCCTTCTTTCTTTTTGGCATGACCTATACGACACAAGCGAAACGTGCAAATGCACAATTACCATAAATGACTCTTTTCATAGAAATATTAGAGATGCGTATGTTCTTGATTCCCCATGTGTCATATTATTCTATCATCTGTTCATGGGTCTCATGAAATACGTAAGATGATAAAGTTTACTTCATAGTATTATTCAAAGGCAAAATGCTCTTATGACACTCCGAAAAATTTTATTGACGTACTTCTCATGCATTGCATTCATGTACATTGACCCATGACCAGATGACGGTATATATGCGTATATATGTATATACGATATGAGAAAAGGTTACAACGTTATATACGCACCACCACCTGATCGGCTGGTATACGTTGATCATTTTGCCCACAATGACAGAGATGATATGATGGGGTGCCCTCAGAGGCTTGATGATGTTATGTACTGTAATGACCCGGCCGATTGTTTTAAGAATTTACGCCCCAATCCCCTATTAACTGCATTCCCCGTGCTTGTTTCTGCTATTGTGAGTTTCCGGGAAGATTTATTTGGAGTTTTGGTACACTTGGTCCCTAAATGAGAGTTTAAGATTTAGAATTTGGACCGTAGTTGGAGCAGTGTGAAGACGGCCTCGGAATAGAATTCCGTCGATTCTGTTAGCTCCGTTGGATGATTTCGGGCTTAGGGGCGTGTTCGGATTGTGTTTTGGAGGTCCATAGCTTATTTAGGCTTGAAATGCCGAAAGTTAAATTTTTGAAGTTTCCGGTTCGATAGTGAGATTTTGATATCGGGGTTGGAATGGAATTCCGGAAGTTGGAGTAGCTCCGTAGTGTTGAATGTGACGTGCTTGCAAAATTTCAGGTCATTCGGACGAGGTTTGATAGACTTTTTGATCGAAAGCGTAATTTGAGAGTTTTTGGAGTTCTTAGGCTTGAATCCGATGTTAAATTGGTGTTTTGATATTTTTTTGGGCGTTCCGAAGGTTGGAACAAGTTTGAATGATGTTTTAGGATCGTTTGGCATGTTTGGTTGAGGTCTCGGGGGCCTCGGGTGAGTTTCGGGTGCTTAACAGAAGTTGAATTGAACTTAGGAAAATTTGATGTTGGCTGAACCTGTCATAACCGCACCTGCGTGAATGCGACCGCAGCTGCGGTGCCGCAGAAGCGGCTAAGGGACCGCAGAAGCGGAATTAGCCAGGACCCAAAAGCTGCAGGTGCGATGTATTGGACGCACATGCGGAACTGTAGGTGCGGTAAGTGAGTCGTAGAAGCGGAAGTTGAGTTTTAATGAAATATTGCAGGTGTGGTTCTTTTTCGCAAAAGTGGGACCGCAGGTGCGGTCCCATGGCCGCAGAAGCGGATTTGCTGGGCAGAAATAAGATATTTCGAGGGTTTGAAATCAAAAGTTAGAAAAATCGATTTGGAGCTCGGGTGAGGGCGATTTTGGGAGGATTTTGAAGAGGAAATCAGTGGGTAACGATTCCTAATCCATTTCTAGTTGTATTCCTATAATCTAATTGTATACAGCAGAATCGGGGGGTCCGATTTCCCGTCATTAAGGCGTTTCGGAAGATTACCTTGATGCCTCGAGGCTGCAGAGATGCGTCCGAGTTTTCTTCCTCGGAGCCCATCGACACCCGACCTAAAGAGAATATTGGTCGAGGCTAAAGTAAAAATGGGAGTTCCCAAGACACGGCTGAGTCTGACAAGGCCTAGCCGGCCTACCCTGAACTCAGATCAGGGTGTTACATCTAGTTGTCCCATCTCCGTATCTTTACAATTAATGTATGTCTTACCATATAAGCTTTCCCCCTTCTAAATAAAGGGGATCTTTATTACTTTACAAGGAATGGGGGTTGCTCCAACTACTCTACATGAAATATATGATAACTCTCTCTCTCTCTTTTCTCTCTAATACACTCTCCCAACATTGTTGCTCTATTTTATTATCTTCATACTTGTTCTTCATTTATTGCTTATCATTGGCCATAAAGAGCCTCCTTTAATATTATTGCATCTGTTAGCCCTTTCCCTACTGCCCCTGATAGCTTGAGCCCGAGCTCGGGAATCGACCCCGAGGCCTTAAACCGTCTAGATCGAAGCCCTATACGGCTATCTTTCGGTTCGATTATGACTCCATTTTAGCTCGCATCTCATCTTTAAACTTCACACAAATAGCATCAACTGCTTCACAACTAGCATAAAAATAGATCACGTATTTTTAGAGTCCCATCAACAAATTTAATTGTTATTACCATTTTTACGGTAAACAGTTTGGCGCCCACCATGGGGCTAAAAATAATAGTGATTATTTTCTTGCTAAGTTTCGTTACGCAACGCAAGTTATCTTGTACACTTTTCTTGTCCAAGATCTTTGATTTCAGGTCAAAATGTCTGGCTCAGTGAACAGAGTAGAAGTTGACGACCTCGAAAATCACGGGGAGAACGGTGTGGCCGTTTCGATCGTTGGCGCGCCGCCACGGAACCCCGAAAATGCACTTGGGCCGACTCCAGCGGACGAAGGCTCGCGCGACGCACAGCAGATCGACGAAACCTCACACACTGACAGGAGCATACAACAAGGCGACCAACAGGAAGCCCAAAAAATCCCAGCTTGGGAAGAACAGGAAGTTAGCCTTCATGTTATTTTTGAAATGTTGCAGGCACAACAGCTGGCTATTGCCCAGCTGCAGAGCCACCCAAAAACTCCCAGCACTGTAGCACCGGGAACAACTCCCCCGGCCGAACAGGTACCAGAGAGACTAAGCAATAATGGTTCGATAGCTGACCCTGCTATTGTAAAAATGCTCGGGGATCTTACTAGAAGGATCGAGTTGGGCGAGAAGATGATAGCTGCCAACGACAAGAAGGTCGAAACTTACAACTCCAGGGTCGACCAAATCCTGGGCGCGCCTCCGGTCCTGAAAGGCGTAGATTTGAGGAAGTTCGTGCAGCGACTGTTCCCGGAGTAAGCAACTCCGAAGCCCATTCCAAAGAAGTTTAGAATGCCGGAACTCCCGAAATACAACGGGACCTCATACCCCAATGAGCACGTTACCGCCTACACGTGCGCAGTGAAGGGCAACGACATAAAAGACGACGAGATCGAGCCCGTCTTGCTGAAGAAGTTCGGGGAAATGCTCTCAAAGGGGGCCATGATGTGGTACCATAATCTAGCTCCCAACTCCATAGACTCATTTTTCATACTGGCAGACTCCTTCATAAAGGCACACGCCGGTTCCATCATGTAGCAACGAGGAAGTCTGACGTATT